GTTTTTTTGATAGTTTCCGTCCGCATTGGACGGTCTTTTGGTCGCTTTTTTGGACCGACCAATGTTGGTTGGTATGCGTCAGTCGGTTTTTACCGAATTTCTAGTAATGTTGGGTAATGAATACAAAGCCAAATGACCACCCATGAAATTTACTCTATCTTGTATGTATTACACAGATGTAGAACAGCCAGATGCCGGTGACCTCGACATAACACCAGCCTTTTAAGTTTAGACATGGCATGTTATTTATGGCTTTGATTAGTTTATTGATTAACAAACAATATCTATTAAACAAGTGTCATTTATTAATTTAATCATGGATCTGATTGTTTGTTTAAACATGAGCATGTGACTATTTTATGTGATTGACAATCACTGTTGATCGAGATTCCCAGTAGTTTTTTCCAAATACAGTAGTTCGCGTAAAACTTTATCTGAACAAAGAAAAGAGTTCAAGGGGTATTGCGGGAAGAGTGACAGAGAGAAACATGAGTGAGTGAGAGAATATATTTGCATTTGAAGGTGATGGCAAATAATTGTATGGTTACAACAGTACTTAAACGTCCCTTCGAGATGACCTCCAGGACAGTGGCTTAGATTTGCCGAATATATAAAGTAAGAATGAAACTTAATAGACATTTTAATCTACAACTATATATGTTGGCGACATGACTACGAGACAAGACCAATGACAATGGGGGGATCCTTCCCATCCCAACAAACATACGACTGTTTGTTGGGGAAAAACCACGAGCGTCCGTTCAACATTTTCGCACTGGTTTTTCTCTCCAACCCATTCTTGGTTTTCTTCATCTTCTACCAAAAAATACGTAGGAAGACTCATATATTGCGTGTGGGGAATAGTGACAAATACAGAAATTAGTGTTAGTATCCATCTATTGTAACAATTAGACATGTACGTGAATTTGACTCTAGCTAAAGTTGATTAATTTATGCCCCAAAATAATTCAATGTATGCGCTACATTATCTTGATAGTTGTATACAGGTAAAACATAGCCCGTTGAACACCTCGATTTCTCGGTGAGGCAAACGAAGCAAGGATATGACCGTAAGGAATCAGAATCAAGGCGAGGAGCCCCTCATATCGGGGTTCGAGCAAAACACCTGCCCTCGGAGGCATCGGGACCACGTCCTCCGGGTTCGGTTCGAGTCCCAAGACTTCGGAGAGCATTGCCAAACAACCGCACACAACTAATAAAGGGCCGTGATATCCGTACCCAACCGGATGTTACGGCGTAAATCTCGGCCCGTATCAGCGATGGATCAGTAATTAGCGAAACGAAAGATTTTTACCCTTTTTTAGAATTGTACTTAGGGTAAAACTCTCCTACTATATAAAGGAACAACTAACTATTCATGAGACACATTATAACACGCATACCAAGGCAATATACTTCTGATTCTGAAAGCTATTCAAAGTTTTTGTCTTGTTCATAAGTTATTCACAAGTGTAAGCTCGGAACCGGAGGCATGTCCCTTGTTAAGCCTTTAATTGAGCCCGGATTCATTCTTTTCATTGGTTTGGTCATTTGTTACGTCTTTTATTTGCTTAATCTAACGTCATTGATTACTTGTATTGAATTAACCCATATTATCCTTAAAATCGCGTATACATTCAATTGTTATCAACGTTCTTTTAGGGTAAACAAAAGTATATTAGAGAATGGGATATAAAGAGTTAGAAATGAAAACGAATTGTTTAGTTGCTGTCAATCATATCAAGGAGGAACACATACAATATCACTCTTTTAGGGCTAGTATTGAAGATTCTAGATACTAGTTCGAAGCCAACACGGATATGCATATCGGGAGGGAGGCTAAAAATGTGCAAAATTCCTGGCGAGAGAAGGGCATAAAAACGAAGAAAATGTGCTTATCTGGGGAAGTGCAGTCAGGAAAATGGAGTTTTTACTCTTGGATGACTTTTTTTTTCGTAACGGTGACTATAAAAAATTCTAGGAATTTTAGTTAATATTGTACCTAAAAAAAAAAATTATGTAAATATATTCTATTCTCTCGGTTTCAATTTAAATGACACAATTTCCTTAATAGTCTGTTGCAAAAAGAATGACACATTTCTACAATCAAAAATAATTTAACTTTAAACTCGTCATTTTACCCTTAGTGAGAAGTTTTTATAACCATACAAAATATTATTGCCTCACAAAGCTTTTATCTCTTAAACTTTTAGGAGCACAAGTTTCAAAATTTTTTTTTTGTAAATTTCGTACTTAATCAAACTAATTCATGTAAATTAAAACGGATGGATTATATATCTTTACAAGTATATTACTATCATGTTACTAAAAAAAATTGACGAATAACACGATGTCTCCGCCACATGAGCTCTGTTCATTGTTTTTCTCGCCGCACAGAAAACCTAAAGGCTAGGAAGGGAGAGGGTGTTGTGTTAGGGGACAGCACACAATATTTTTTGCGGGGCAAAACCACTTTCTATGGGCGTCTTTTTACCGGTAGACCCATTTATAATTGATTGTACTATTGAAGAGGCGAGGGTCCCAACTCGATTTTGTGTACGATTAATATTTTATTCTTTTTTCTTTATTTGGTTAAGGGAACGCAACAAAGGACGACCAATACGAGTGTCGACTCATGCTGGTTGTTGCCATGCACTCTTCCTTTCCCTTGCTTCTTTGCTTTCATGCTCTTCTATAGTATTTTTATCTAGGAGAGTCAAAATACAAAAAATAAATATTCAAAAAGTTAAGGTAATTATATATAGTTGTATTGGGTGATACCCTTTTTTGCTTGAGCCCGACCGGGTTGGATCCGGTCCGGAGCAAGTCGGGGCCATCGAACCCGACCTGGATGCAAGGTAGAACGACGGCCACGTCTACAACCGAGGTCGAGTCATTTTGAGACCGTTACAGAGCTCGAAAGGAGTCTCCAAACACACCAGGTCGGAAGCCGGACTCGTAACGGATAACCAAGCGTCGCCGGATATCTCGCCCAAACGTGATTTTCTCAACCACTTCAGGTCATTAAGGCGTAATTACAGGGATCCACGATGTAATCAATTTACCTACCTTATTTTTACCCTTAATCAGAATGTATAAAAGGGGATCTCTCTAAATTCTGGTAGATCATCAAGCACAATTGTTCTAAGCAATATTATATTCTGCGATTATTTACTTTAACAGCAATTGTTGAGTCTTTATCTTTATTTTCCTCAACCTAAAAACCTTTTGTATCTTTTAGTTCACGGATCCTTAAAACCCCATATAAATTCAATTGTTATCCGGATTCGAGGGTAAACAATTAGTTAGTAACATGATAAAAACGATAATTGACCTACTATCACATGTTAAAATTCACTTAGTGTAAGAAATATTTTTTGCATGTATATCACTTACATCCTTATTATTATCATTTTTAGGGGAGAAATTCAAAAATAGCCAGATTTACAAGTGGTCATTCAAAAATAGCCATAGTTTTAAAAGTAATTGAAATTTAGCCACTTTTCATGTAAAGATAAATCTGAAAGAAAATACTGTTCAAAATCCGGAAAATACTCCAGCATAATATACCGGAGTTCCAGCATAAGTATACTGGAACTCCAGTATATTATAATGGAGTTACAACATAAGTATACTGGAACTCCAGCATATTATAATGGAGTTCCAGCATAAGTATACTTGAACTCCAGCATAATATACTGGAGTTCCAGTATAATATACCGGTCCAGTATAATATGCTGGAAGTTCATACACAGGAACTCCAATCTCCAGTATATTATGCTGGACCGGTCCCTGTTGCAATAAAATAGTGGCTATTTTTCAATGACTTTGCAAACGCTGGTTATTTTTGAATAATCACTCCGAAAACTGGCTGGCCCATGCTATTTTAACCATTTTTGGGGGTGGCGGTAAGCTTGATTAGTTTTATAAACCTATTTCCTTTGGTAATAGTGAACTTTTATTTAAGTACGTCAATTTAAGTACTTAAATTTATTTTTCTTGGCAATAATAAAAGTCATTTAAGTACTTGAATTTATATTTTGGTTGGGGGAGCAGGAGGTGCAGGTCTAGAAATTTTGAAATCAGTTTTTTTGGTAATAATGAATGTCATTTAAGTCCACACCTAAGTTTGGGAATTTTAACTAACGAATACACGTCAACTTGCGTCATTGCCTTTTTAACCATCTTTTATCTAGAGTGAGATGCGACACAATATGCCCGAGTGCGAAAAGAGAAACAGATTGAATAAACAAGCGTTGATGATAGTTTTTTTGTAAGGAAAAGAGCTAAAAATGCGTTGATATTAGTCTTTCCTTTTGTAATAAACAAAAGTAGATACCCTATGTGAATATTCGTCTGTTCACAAAACAGTAAATTTCGTGAACGCTTTTATGAGAAATATCCATGAATATACTCGAATCTGAATATGAACTAAACTAATAGAGGGCTTTTTACTCAAAAAGTAGAGGCGTCAAAGAAGCAGCACTAAGAACAATATGGTCTTGAAACATGAAGCACTAAATCACTCTCTCTATCTTGAAGACTTCTAACAGCAGACCCTAGGCATTTATGAGTAGTTGTCACTATGACAGACGTCATTTAAATATGAAAAAAAGATGCACAAATGTTAGCCTTCTTTTTTGTAAGCATCATTTCTCTCCATCTACATGTCAACCATAGTAAGCTCAAGTTCTATAAATCTATAACTAAAACCGAGAGAGAATCCAGCAGCATCGACTTGCAGCTTTCGTTTGTCAAGAAATCCCAGTAAATATCATGTATAGATAAACAAGTCAAATATTGAAAGATCCTTGAATATTGCATAACCAATCTCTACAGTAATAGTTGGGCGACCTGCGGGTAATAGGAGCACCTTACAATCCATTGAAACATTCTTTCCAAGACTGATTCTAGCCGCTGTAAGCATAAAGAACTAGAAGATTACACTACTATTTCCATGAAGCGGAATTTAAAAAACTAAAAAAAGGAAAATAAACAAGTGAAGAAGAGCATTCAGATTTTTCACTGGAAAAAATGAAACAGTATGAAGACCTGAGACGTTACTTGCATCAATTTTAACACTGTTTGGTCAAAGCACAAACGTCCTCACGTTTAAAAACTATAGAACTTAAATTATCTACCATCAGCAACACATAAGTCCAACCTAAATGGATATATAATTCAGAATTAAATGAACAACATCAAAAGAAAACCAAAAAGAAAACGGAAATGGGCTATACTTCTAGCACTAGTCCAAGAGATTAATTCCTTTAAGCCATCCAAGAGTCCCCATTAGGTAAGACTCGACGAGCACTTATCATAGTGGGTCGGTACAACTAACCATCATAGTCCCCCTCGTAGAACTTGTTTTCTGGATAGAAGACAGCAACAACTTGGTTGCCACCAAATTTTCTTCCATTCAGACTCTGCCTAGCTTTGCTGGCACTGTCGATATCCGCATACTCCAAAAATACCTAAAAGGTACATAAACGATTTAGAAGTTCCACATTCAGAAGTGAAAAACAACATTACCATTGACAAAGAACCAATCCACTTGGACCCTTCTTTCAATTGGCTGAAATCAGTCGTCATATGAGGAAGTAATAACTAGTCACAGTGAAAAGCCACTTGACAGAAATTACAAGCCATTTTTAGATGGTCATAGCAAAGATAATTAGATCTAGGTTGTATCACTTCTCTTGTAACAAATACAGGATCACTACTAACAACTTATAAACTTTAAATGATCCAGGCTAAGAAGTCTGCAGGTATATTTTTACCTTTCCAACCCCTGGTGTGGGCTCGCCATTAGGACTTGGACGTGGAATAACAACATTCACCAGAGATCCTGCAGAATATATGTCAAAATGGAAGTTTTTAACAAGTATTGCTGCCAAACATTAAGCCATATGCTTAGCACAACAAGGAGAAAAAATCATCTTATCTAAATACCCACCAAATTTCCCACATTCAGTTCTCATGTCTTCCAAAATATCTTGATAGTCCTCATCGTCGTTGAGCTCATCTGCACTAACGACTTCTGTTAAGCTCAGGACCTTTGTGGCTAATGTAGCAGGTTGTAACATGAGTCTCTGCGAAAGAACATATATTAAGGGGTGAGCAGCCAAGTCCTTGTGTAAGAAATCAAATCCTAAGGAATGGAGAATTGAACTAGAAAGCACAGAAATGGCTCACCTGCAAAGCTATCTGCTGTTGTGCATGCAACAATACACTCTCTTGCTCGGGTTTAGGTTGTGTTGTACCCTGGTTAGCACGCCTAACAGTAAGGGTTTTATCGCCCATTTTAATACCATTAAGAGCTGCACAAGCAATATCAGTAACAGAGACATCCTGATAGACACAGAAGGCATAGCCTTTTGAGTTCCCAGTTTCTCTATCTTTGACCAAATCAAATCCTCTAAGTGGACCAAAAGACTCTAACAGCTCTCTAATCTGTGCTTCTGTGAAATAGTAGGGCAAACCACCAACAAAAATACGATCAGGACCTTCCAGCCCTCCAGCAGAACCTGGGCTCAATCCAACAGCTGCCAGGTTGAGGTTTGGGTTTGGTTGGCTAGGACCAAGAGTAGCAGCCAGAGAAGGATTGTAATCGCTCGGTCTTCTGACCTTACAGGGTGCGCCCTGGACAAAAAATGCGTGCACAGAGAAGCACAGAGCAGTCAGTTGAAGGTAACAACATATACTTGATGTTGGATAAAGAATTATCCAGTAACATCTGATAAGCTCCAATAAATGACTAACAAACAAACAAAAGAGAAAGAAACAGGTTTGAGGATATCAGCTCTTATAACAGGAAGGGGATGAAAGATGTTGCTTCCAAAATTTTCTTGGACTAAACAAGACTCAAGGGATAGAGAATAGTTGCATGTCCCTAAAACTATAAGTTTCTACACCCTTGCTTTCTCCCAAATGGATAAACCACCTACACAAGAGGTCAAAGGTCTATCTCTTCTTTAAATCATAACTAGTTGATCAGCTATTACACATTCAGGTACCTCAAATATGATGCCGTCCAAGGCCATGGCATTACTCGCTTCCTCTACTGATCTCATTTCAACAAAAGCAAACTTCTTTTCATAGTTTATATAGACATTGACAACAGCATCCCCTGAAAATTTTCAACAATACTCTGAGCATCTGAAAGGTAAATTTAGTTGTACCAAAGGAGAACAAATTTTAAACTAACCTGGACCAGCTGTGTTTCCTCCAATTGCAGACATAACATGACTAAAGAAGGTCGCAACAGACTGCATGAGAATCAGTGTGTCAAGACAAACAAGAGGTATGTATGAGAGCAATGTCAGAGATAGGTCACAGAAAATCAGCTTTAACCATGCGGTAAAAATGGAAAACTACATGCAGATTTTCTCTTAACAGATAGTGACTTCAATGGATATCTTTAAAAAAAATATCAGCTATTTGACATTAGAAATAATAACAATGGCACATGGAATGAGGTTGGTTCTGTGAGATTTTACTATAAATTATTTCAAATTATTAATTCTTTAAACATAGACTTGAATAGTACTTTGAGCACCATTCAGAAAATCACCACTACCATATTTACATAGAGAGTAATAGTAAAATAAGTGAAATGACTAAGAAAGATTTTCACGGCGGTGACAGTAAGAAAGGTGAGCCGAGGGTCTATTGGAAACAACCTCTCTATCCTCGCAAGGTAGGGGGGGTAAGGTCTGGGTAGTACACTACCCTCCCCAAACCCCACAGTGTGGGATAATACTGGGTATGTTGTTGTTGTTGACAGTAAGAAGGGTACTACTACCGATGTCATACTATGTTGACAGTAAATCAGATGAAACTAAGTTATACTGATCGAAAAAACGGCGTAACAAATTTTACCTCCACAAAATGTAAGAAGTACTAAACCACATTAAAAATATTGAAATGAATCTGAAAGATATCAAAATATGAAAAGGAACTAAGTAACTTCCCTAATTTGAGTAGCCAAATTTTAAACAGCCCAAGTCAAGTCACAAGAAATTCCAAATTTGGACCAAAGTGACTCCAACCCCATAATATGTCTCATATTTGAAGGCGAAAAAAGGTGAATAACTCAGACAACTAAAACTAAAAGGTCAGCTTGGTGCACAAAGTATCCCGTGTTCATGCAGGGTCCGGGGAAGGGTCGCACCCTAATGGAGCGTGATGTAGGCAGCCTAACCTGATGCAAGCATCAATGGCTGATTCCATAGCTCGAGCTTACAGGTTAACTACTATGCAATAAATACAGGAGAGTGTGTTCATTTAGTTTGTTTCAACAAATAAACATTATATGGAAATGTCATAAAGACCTACTTCTTCATGAGATTGGTGAGGGTGGTCTAATACCTGTTCATTTGCATGAGCTGGTAGTCCACCAACATAAACTCGCCGAGCATGCCTAGTAGCCTGATAACAGAACAAGTTAGGAAATACTTTAGGTTAAAAAAGAGGAACTCATAAGCACCGTGAGCTTGAAAAGGAAATTACTAACACATTACGAACCTGCTGTGTCATTGCCTGGATCGGCATAACAGGAAGAGCTCCAAACTACCACAACCAACAGGGAACAAACAAATGAGAATCTTGATAAAAACATTGAATCCACACAACTGAAAAGGGAGTGCTGACAGTACCTGGCCCGATGCTAAAGGAAACATGTTAGGAAACATTCCAGGAATTGGTGGGTTGGTCCCAGGAACTTGACCTGCAGAGGTAACCAAGCTACAGTTGAAAATGACATCATCACATATACTTTAAACGATACGAGAGTGAGTATTTACATTTCCCTTTTTAAAATGATTTTGAAAGAATAAATGAATTCTGTACTAAGAAATCTAAGTAAAACAATATAAGGAGTAGAAATTCTACAGTGTATTCAGAAAATATTTGTAACTACCAAACAGGCAATTCCTGGATGAAGATGAACAAGACCTGTATTGGTTCTTCCTTGTACATAAAAGCTACAGAAGTCGGCTCACACCCATTGTCAGCACAGTGGGGCAAGTAGCCCAACATTGCCTTCTTAGAACATAACAAGACATACAAAACAAACAAACAAACACCAAACACAACAAGAAACCAAAAACCCTCAGTTTTGGAATTACTTCACCAAGTAAACAATAAATAAAAACAAAACAGCCAATCTATTCCATGACTCAATACCAATATAGGTGGAAGTTAAAGAACCAAAAAGCTTACCAAAACGTAACCATGTATTTTGATATGAACTTCCACACTATGTCAAAGAGAAATGTGGCAGTTATCAACATAATATCAGCTGTAACCTTAATGATGAAATAAGTACCTGCAGCAGCCGTAATGCCAGGTAACATTGCAGAGGTAGGAGGTGCCATATCAAAACCACTGATCCTTTTGCTGAAAAAATACAACATTAATAATAGCAATGAAGTGACAAAAACCTGACTGCCAATAAAACATTTAATGATCCACATAACATTGGCCAACTAATTAGCTCTTGGGACATGTACAAGAAATTTTAAAAAAAAAAAGGTATAGCACAAGGCAAAACTTGCCAGTTCATTAACAGAGTCAATAGAGGAACAAGGAAAAAGTACGGTTATGATTTTCTTGTGTTACAGTAGATTAACACCACAAGATCCCACCATTATAATGTGGACATGACAGGACAAGAACAAGAGGGAGTACTTGGCTCCAAGCACGGAAAGGAGAAAGAACTACTGCAACTTCGCAAATATCATCCCAATATCTCAAGTTATAACCCTTCAACCCCAGATTAATAGAATAAGTTTGACAAGTTGTGCTATATTAAAGTTTCAGAAATAGCAGCGTGTATTACAAGACACTTAGCAGTTCCAAATACATTCTAAAGATAGTTTTGTGTACAATATATCGAAAGCATGTCATTTGACCTAAAATAGAGGTCAAGAGATCAATCGATGCAAGCTGTGAGAGTAAGATTTAACTTTTTTACAAAGCTACCGAACAGGTGATTTCTCTGTTGAACAAGTCCGGTTGATACATGCTATGACCATCAAATACTGTAATATGAATATGCTAGTCCTTCAAAGAATTACAAGTCCTCAGTGTGATTTATGACACTACTATCCAACTCTCCAAGAAACAAAAATATTCTTGAGAGGGAGGCAAATCATGGATGCAGCTTTAATAGCTAATGTCGTCTAGATACTAGGCTAAGAGAGAGATACCAGGTATAATGTGCAACCTTGATATTCAGAAGCATACGATCATGTGAACTGGAATTCTTGCTGAAGGTCCTTAAAGATTTAGGTTTTGACAGGAAGTGGCTGAACTGGATTTGGCATTGTATCAGCACGCTCAGGTTCTCTGTACTTATAAATGGATCACCACAGGGTTTCTTTGCTTCCCGACGAGGCCTTAGATAAGGAGATCCAATTTCTCCTTTCTTATTCTTGTTGGTAATGGAAGGACTTAGTAATATGATCAATGAAATGCATACAGGATCAGGGCCTCTCTATTTCACTTCTTCTCTATGCTGATAATTCCCTTATTTTTTGTGAGCCAGAGGTGAATCAATTGGGATTTTTGAGAGTTGATTCTATGTGTGTTTGAAGAGGTTTCAGGACTTCATGACAACTGGAACAAGAGCAGAATAATTCCAGTGAACACAGTTCAAGATTTGCAGAGTGTTGTTGCAGTTTTAGGGTGCCGAACAGAGTTTCTTCCTACAACTCTACAAGTTACCTGGGATTGCCTCTGCCAGCAAAAGCAAATCTGAATTTTTCTGGCAAGGAGTGGTGGATAGATGTGAAAAAAAATGGCTAACTTGAAGAGATAATATCTTTCTTTGGGGGTATATTAATACTTCCTTTTTAGTCTGTTCCAAAATAAATGACACATTTCTAAATTTGGAAATAATTCAACTTTAAACTCTTTATTTTTGCTCATTTTACCTTAATTAGAAGCTTTTATAACCACACAAATGTCATGGCCCTACAAAGCTTTTACCCCTTAAGCTTTTAAGACAACAAGTTTCAAAAGTCTTTCTTCTTTTTTCTTAAACTCTGTGCCGAGTCAAACTAACTCATCCAAATTGAAACGGAGGGAGTATTAATTAACAGCATATTGGGATTCGATTCCAACATATACTATGTCCTTATGTCTCATGTCATCCAAAGTGGAGAAGAAAATAGACAAGCCAAGAAGGGAATTTTTCTGGCAAGGCAATAAAGAAAACAAAGGGATTAATCTTGTCAAATGGAGCATTGTCCCTGCAACAAAGGAACAAGGAGTTTTGGGCATAAAGAACTTAAGTATACAAAACAGAAGCCTTTTAATGAAGTGGCTTTGGAGATTTAGTGCAGAAGCCGACACCTTTTGGAGGAGAGCAATAGCAGAGAAATTTGGTTTTCTGAATGTATGTTGCACCAAGAGAGGTCCCTCTTCACAAGGAATTAGTATCTGGATGAACATAGGGTCCTCATAGCATATTTTCTCACAGCATATTGATTTCAAGATAGGTAATGGAAGGAAGATTTCCTTTTGGCAAGAAAATGGTTGGGGCATCTACCTCTCAGAGAAATTTTCCCTGTAATATACTGGTTGATACCAGACAAAGAATTAACAGTAGCACAATGTTGGGAAGACAATAGCTGGAATATAAAATTCAGAAGATACATAAACGATGGGGAGCTAAATGAGGTTGCCAAATTCTTCAGTGTACTACCTACTTCTGTAAGCTTAATCAGTAATGAAGACTGTTTGATACGGAGAGGCCACAACAAAGGGGTTTATACTGTCAAGATATGTTACAACATATTCGTGAAAGAAGTAAAACAGTTTCTTATTGTTCCCTGGAAGCAAATCAGGAAATCAAAAGCTCCTACGAAAGTTAGTTGTTTTGAATGGTTGGTGGCTAAGAAGGTTTGTTTAACTCAGGACAATTTACCAAGAAGAGGATTCCAAATAGTTAACAGATGCTATATGTGTAAAGAGGAGGCAGAAAGTATCAATCATCTATTCTTACACTGCAGAGCTGCCACACAGTTGTGGCAATTAATTTTGAACATTTGGGGAATTAAATGCGGGAAGCGCAACTTAGGTGGTTTGGTCATGTGAGGAGGAGGAGCACAGACGCCACAGTGAGGAGGGGTGAGAGGTTGACATTAGAGGGCCTAAGGAGAGGTAGAGTTAGGCCAAAAAAGAGGTGGGGAGAGGTGATTAGGCAAGACATGGCGCAACTTCAGCTGACCGAGGACATGACCCTTGATAGGAAGGTATGGAGGTTGAGGATTAGGGTAGTAGAGTAGGTAGTCTAGAGTGTTCATAACAGTAGTATTGGCACGCAGTCTCGCTTACTGTTGGTAGTAGGTTTTTATGACTAACCGTTGTTTTCTTTCATTGTTGATCACCTTACTGTCTTGTTGTTTTTATTCTGCTTTTATATGGCTTTTTGGTCCTTATCAAAAAACAAATATGGCTTTTTGGTACTGTCCCTTGTCTATATTTTCATTAGTGTGGTGCTTATGCTTTCCCGAGGCGAGGGTCTATAGGAAACGACCTCTCTATCCTCACAAGGTAGGGGTAAGGTCTGCGTACACACTACCCTCCCAAGACCCCACGGTGTGGGATAATACTGGGTATGTTGTTGTTGTTGGGGAAGTAAATGGGTGATGCCAAGCACTACTGCTGAGTTAGTGTCATGCTGGAGTAGAAAGGGACTGTCAAAGCAAATGAAGAAGGATTGGAATACAATACCAGCAGCTATATGGTGGTGCACATGGAAAGAAAGGAATAAGAGATGCTTTGAAGGACTGGAAAATTCATTCTTGAAGATCAAATCAGACTGCATTTTGTTGATATCTTTTTGGTGTAAGCAGGATTGGATAGATGGTAGTAAAACCCTGCAAGAATTCATAGATCTTTTGTATTGACACACATGGTTTTCTTTTTCCTTTTTTTTTATTTTCTGGGATGTAACCACAGTACTCTCTTAGTGCTGATTTTCTTATATCTATAATACCTTATCATTTCTCAACAAAAAATAGCAAAATCCCCCTATAGGCATTTTAGTGCACTTCTATTTAAAGATTGGGTAATTGTCATTTCGTTCCAGCCTGACAGATCAAAGAGTCCAATATAAGTTTGACAAAATTTCCAGTAAGCTAGTGTTTATATAAGGTAGAGCCAACTATAAACAGAAGATCAAATAGTAAAAACCAGTCTTAAATGAATATTAGGATTTAAAAAGAGAGAATATAACATGGAAATGCTCCAGTGAGAAGACATATGAGCAAACAGCTAACCTCTTGGATCGAGAACGCGATCGAGACCTTGATCTGTGCTCAGATCTACCCCTTGAGCGAGACCTGTGTCTATGCCGACTCTCTCTATCTTTGTCATGTTCTCTTTGCCTTTAAACACAATCATATGAATATATTACAAACTCAAAATGAAGCATGTTTCCACTACCACTCAACAACGATTTGAAAATTTAAAGATCATAAAACATGATCCTCAAGTCTAAATCCAACTCATAACAGTAACATAAAGCCAAATTAAAATCACATAAACAATATAAATACTTAACATTGGAAACTGCTATAGCTCTTACTGGTCATAGTCTCGATTTCGCTGACGATCATCATCATCTCTATCTCTGGTCCTCTCCTTCTCCCTTCTGTCGCTCCGATCCCTATGGCGGTCTCTGTGATGACGATCACGGTCCTTCTCCCTCTCTCTATCCCTGTCCCTGTCCCTGTCCCTACCCCTGTCCCGGTCTCTGCCTCTATCCCTATCCCTGTCCCGGTCCTTATCACGCCCTCTCTCCCTATCCTTTTCCCTGCTTCTTGATGAATCCCTATCTTTTTCGTTCTCACGAGAACTATGCTGGAAGAGGCACACAAATAAATAAATAAATAAATAAAATAAGCAAGTGAAGGGAACTAGAAAACTAGACATACACATACAAAACTAAGGATGGCAAAGGAATTATATTGTTGGTCAAATCATAATAGTTAAGATTGAAACTAAACAGATGAAAGAAGGCAAAAGACTAGAGCACCCAAAACTAATACTAAGAAAAGCAGCCTGATTAAGACCCGGTCAATTCATTGGAAAATGTTCAAAAACCCAAAGACATTCCTTTTGGGTGCTTAGTTTTCACATATCGGAACTGCATATGCAGATAGAGTCCACCAATCTGCTTGTACAATAATGGTTTTTACACAGAAATCATTTCTGCTTAATGCATGAATCATACTCGGGGTCACCCAGGGAACTCTATCCCTGCAGGGATGGAGTGACAAGTTGTTCTAAGAATTCAAGAGATCTGTGACACGAGCTGTTCATCAATATGACAGGTGTCAAGAGGAAGTGCAAGTATGCAGCTGCTGCGTTATCTCTCTCTCTCTTCTTTTTTTTTTTTTTTAACAGAGGGGCTTACCCAGAATATTCATGAATCACATCCCATCAAGCAGATAGCAGCTTCAATATACAATCCTAGAATACTTAAATCCTTACTATTAGAACGATCCACACAGTAAAAGGAGCAATACTCATAAATGACCTCATCAAAAAAAATCATTATGAAACACAAACAAAATCAATGCACCATTCTAACGTAACACCTTTCTCTGCCAATAAAAGCCGCAACATCAGACTTTTCAGATACAGCCTCTTCTTTTTTTTTTTTTTTTTGG